ATATATTTTTCTTCTGAATATGAGATCAACCTTTTTTTTTATTAATAAGATTCATAAACATTTAGTAGATTTGAGAAAGATCTCATGAAACTCAGTGAATGGACAGAATTTTCCTTGTGGGCAAATTTAAAGGAAAAAACTCAATGAAAGGTAATTCTTTAAAGTCTCTTTTACATTACATTAATTCATCAAATACTCATTCATTACTCCTTGCTAGTCCTTGTGCTAGGTTGATTATATACTAGAAAACAGACTAATGCATGTCCTTATGGAATTACAAACAGGAGTGAGGGAGGGAGGATGGGGGTGTACTAAATAAATACATAAGCAAATTATTATAGTAATAAATTATAAGAAGTCCTGTGAAGAAAAGGATGCTATGAAGAAAAGAATATTAGGGTGGGCAGTAGTGGTGGAGGGAGCAGCAAAGAGGAGGAAGGCTGCTTACTTTGACAAGGAACCTTTTAAAGAATTACGACAGGCATTTTTTTCCCTGTGGAGCCAACTTGCATGTATTTCAGTGAGGAATGTAAGTCTTTACCTTCTCCATACATTTCCAACCTCACTATTTTTGGTTGTAGAGATACGATTGGAGGGATTCACTTATTTTATCTATTCCTTCCAAAACAACATAGCGGGTGGGGAAAATTTAGCTTTAGGCATATAGTTTGAGGAACTCATGGCCTACACAAGTGAGTATGTCTTAAAACGAGTTGCATATATAGATGTATAGCTTGAAGGGAGGGAGGGAAATGGATGGTGATCTGACAGCATATATAAGGTCATGAAAGACGAAGAGTGAGGCTAGAAGGGTTAGGACAGAACATGACTATTATTTTAAGAACAAAAAGGAAACTACAAAGCAGGCTGTCAGGACTAATCAGAGGCACTGGGAAAACGGATCAGTGAGTGCCACCATAGTACAGGGACTGGTCTACAATTTGAACAGCTGCAGTTTGGGAGAGGCAACCTTTTCCCACAGTGGTTACATTTACAATAGCTCTGTCATTAGAGACCCGAATTTGCACCCTTTCTGTGACTCTTACTCTCTTTTGTGACTTTAGGGCAAATTTACTTATCTCGGTTTCTTAATTTTGCCAAATGTAAAGGGGGGATAAAATTGTTCCTATTTTCTTCTTAATCCTGATGGAAGACATCTATATATGTTAGCTACAATAAATGTATAACGAAGATCACCCCAAGTTCAGAAGCCATAATAGGTTTTAATGTTTAAAAATGCTACCTTAGACGGGAAACAAGAGGCTAATGCCAGACTGATTTTGCTATTTACATACAGTTTCCCTGTCACAAGTGGTGGGTCCATTTATTTAAGTGCAGAGATACTGGTACATCAGAAGCAGATCAGAAAGGAAGAATGACAGATCTCAAACAGCAAATAACCAGTTCCAACTTTTGAACTAAATCAAGGACTTAACACTAAGATTCAAACTGGTCCTTGATTACTGAAAATATCTACAGATTTTTTTTTTTCTCTTTTGGTGGTACTGGGGTTTGAACTCAGGTCCTTGCACTTGGCTAGGCAGGCACTCTACCACTTGAGCACCATCCCCAGCCCTTATTAGAAAGATTATTAAAGGACCAGAATTTGCTTCTACTTCTTGAAAAGAATAACAAATAAGGGGAGAAAGAGATGGACTACAGAAAGCAGCTACATATGTACTTACTCATCAACTAGCAAAGTCAACTTACACTGAAAACGTTGGTATAAGAGAAATTGGTCCAGTCTTCTAAAAAGTTTTTCTTTATAGAAAAGAAAGCAAGTGAATTATCAGAGGAAAGTAGATGTGATCTTAAGAACTAGCTGCACATTTTCTTGGCACACAGTGAAAACAAAAAGTTACCAGAATGGGAGTTCTGGATCATTTCCCCTCTCTAGTCTCATTTCTGACTTTGTTACATTGAGTTGAGTCTCATTACTGGTTCCTAACAACTCTGGGCTGCCTTCTTCTCTACCTCAGCTTAGGGAATGACAGTGATTTGGTTATTAAATGGCTTTAAATTTTATCACAGTGAACTAGATGCATATTAGAATATTGGGTCACTAACATGTATGAAAAAGTTCATAGTGTCTTAGTGTCAAAGTTAGGAAACAGGTATTAGGAAGTTTATGCCTGTCTACTAATCTTGTAAGTAGACAGATTATTGTAATGGAGAATTACAGGTTTTTGTTTTTGCAAAAGCAAAACTTGTGAACATTTAAAGATCTGAGTCTTCAAAGTGCATTTCTTATTTTCTTAAAGTACATCAGCCATGACTTATAACTATATGAAAGCGAGGAACCTCTTTAAGTGTTGAAAAGTCACAGGAAAAAAAGACAAGCCAGAGCCATGCCCAGAATATGAAATCTCTCCAACAAGATCCAACTGTCTTGTTATTTCTCTTTCTCCCTTTGTCTTTGTTTTATAAACATAGACATGCACACAGCTCTTAAACAAGAGGCCAGCTGACTAGAAGACCAAGGTTGATTTGATATAAACAACTCAAAGTGAATAAAATATTATTTTTATTTAATACAAATGTGTGAACCAAAAACTACCCTGTTATTATTCTTTAATAGGATTTATTTTTACTAAGCCTCTTTGCAGAAAAAAAGAGAACTGTTTAGAACAAATTTAGCAATTTACTTACGTAAGCTAAGAAAGCAAGCATCAGCAATATCACCATTATACAAAGAAAAATATACCAAATTAGTACTTAACTATCTTTTTAAAAAGTCCCTTTTACATTCTATTGATTGGCATTGTGCTAGGAACTTGGTTGTAGAAAGAAAATTCAATAACAGTTAAAAAGACTAACAAAGATAAAGAACATAATCTACAATTTTTCCAGTATGTGATTATGTGGCTTTTTTTCTACTGATTTTTGAAACTGCATACAAATACAAAAATGAAATTTTGTGGAATACAGGGTACCCATTTCCCTCCTTTTTTACTCACAATAATCTTTTGATATTAAACAAAATGGTTATAATGAACTAGTTTATAATTGTAGTAAAAAAAAGAAAATGTTTGAGATGAGAGCTGACACTAGATAAACTGAGAATACTAATTTTTCTCACCAAAGTTGACATTTTAATATATATAAAATCTAGAATATATGTAGAATATTAAATGAGATAGTTTCATCAAATTAAGAATTGTTTTTGCCTCAAATTGAGAGACAACTATAATTTCAGTACTATGTCATGTTCACATTTAAAAAGCGTGAAATGTTGACAGATAAGGAATATTATATTCCTGAGGAATGTTTATGTATGATTGAGAACCAGTTAAAAGGTCTATTTAAAAAGGCTTGAAAAGAAATTATGAAAATTTAGTTCTGCAAAAACATCCCATTATAGCATGATCCTCAGTAAAGATGACTTAGCAAGAAGCACTGATTAGGAAAAGCTGGCTGAATGAACAGCAAGGATAAACAATTAGGATTCAGGAGGACAGGTTTCTGTCACCAGCCGTACAACAAAACGAACTACTGACAGTAGTTCCATGGAACGAACTAAGATCACACAGACAGAACCAGGTGTCCAAGCTTCAAAGCCCAAGATTGTCAATTATTAGCTTGTAACTTCAAAGTGCATTTCTTAGGTTTCTGAGGTTCAGTTCTAACACATTTAAAATGAATAGTAACAGTAGTCATCCCAAAGCTATTTTGAATTAAATAAGATAATCCAAGTAAGGTGCTTAGTACAATCTCTGGAACAGAAATGCTCACAGCAAATGCCTGGCACATAATGGCTTGCCATCACCACTACTACAATCTGGAGCCTTCTATGTACCTGGCTCTCAGTTTTCTTACAAGTGAAATACAAGGACTGCAATGGATAATTTCTAATGTCTTATCCACCTAAATATTACAAGATTATCAGAATATACATGACATCTATATCTAAAAAATGTAAATTTAGATCTTTCACTCTAGCACAATTAAGAGCATGGTAATTCAAATGCTATAGAAGAATCATATTTTGAAGCCATCCTTTTGAAATTAGTTATAATTACATTTATAAAGCCAAGGTTATCCATCACACACTTTTTGGTGACTACAACATTTCTGAATAACAAGTCTTAACAGAAATTTCAAACTAGGTAATCATTGTGTGTGTTTAACTAGAAGAATATTTCATATCTCTTAAAAAACAGAAAAAATGAAGTTTATGAAAATTTTCAAATAGTCAAGGAAAAAAAGATGCCATCTTGAAACTATCCCAAATCTAAAGGTCTAATGAAGTCTTTCTACTGACATGCTACAACCCTAAATTCTAATTACAGGCAAACTTTTATTTTTGAAGGACAATTAAGATTTTTGGTGTGACTCATAAATATGTAAAAATGAATCAGTTTGGCAATGTCAAGATTAAGGTAACCTCCCACGTTTCCTAGAAGCAAACTGCTGATATGCATAGACACACTGCCTGTGCACCAACTCAAATCCTTCAACAGGAGATCAATTTTAATTTCTGGAGAAAATCTTTTTCATTTACTACTTTCAAGAAATTTTAGGACACCGTTTTAGTTTTTACAAACTACTAAAGGTGTCTGTAACCACTAAAAAGAAGTTATCTAAAATTTTAGAAATGTTTTTCCAGATGATTGGAGCAGTAGGTAGGAAAGAATTTAGGCTCACTTCACTCAGGTACTAGTATGGTAGGCCTAAAAGAACAAAATTACGTCTGCCCATCAATATAAATGGTTACTTTAGTTCTTAATATGGAACACATAATGACTATTAAAACCTGACAACCTAATGAGCTCTCACCAAAAAACTCTTACCAGGCAACAGCTCATTTTCATATTAGCAAAACCTGGGTTGGTACTTTGGCGTTGGAAAAACAAATTTGCGACTGTGTTAGCTTGTTTCATTTCCAGAAACCTTATCTTTAACAGATCTTCACAGCAAAATTTCCATTCAAGAAATTCGTCAAGTTATAAGTAGTTGTTTAAAGTTCATGCCGTGAAATTAAAACTATACTGTAGTCTTACCCTCAATATTCAGTTCAAAACAAATGTGGCAGAAGGAGAGTGTTTCTTTGTCTGTTCCCAGTTTACAAACACTGCAAATGTTGTCATCATTCAAGTCAATGTTGACAAACTGCTCCTCTTCGTTCATAGTGCCCCTGTTAAGAAACAAAAAGGCAGGGTTACACAAGTTCGAGAACTTGCTATTAGGGCATGCAAAACTGAGAACTTCTAGGAACCCAGGAAAAGTGCGGCTTGCAACAGCCTCATCAAACAAGCATCGCCATACTTGGAGCTCAGCATTACACTTTTATTTATTATGCAAAAACAAAAAGCCTGACCTCAGACGACACTATGTCCAAGTACGCTCCCCTTCCAGCCTCCCCGTACTTCACTGAGTTAAGAGGATCTAAAGGAACGGGGACTACGGGTACTGCAGTCTGGCCCCGAACCCCGCTGGCCAGGTCCTGCCAACCCATTTAGTGCTATGCGCGCAAAGGGCCCCGGCTTCGCTAACTTCATGGCTTGTCGCTAACTCGGCGTTCCCAGGCTTCCCACCCGAGGTCCGCGGCAGGGAAATGCACGTGAGAACGCCAACATGGGGGAAGGCGTCCGGTCCCGTCCAGGGCTCCCGCACCGAAGGCCGGCCGGCCTGAGACCCCGCGATCCGGTCCGGCACCGACGAGGGGCCCAAGAGGGGTCCCGGAGCCGGCCGGTGGGAGCGCCGCGTCCCCTCGCCCCGGGCTTCCTCCCACCCAGGAAGCAGGCGTCGCAAGACCGCGGCGACCGCTCAGTCCACTCGGCGTCTAAAAAAGCCAGATTACCGTCGGCCACGGGTTTGGGGGCGCCAGCCCGCCCGTCCCCCTCGCCTGCCGTGGACTTGAGTCTGTCTCGTCAATCCGTCAGCCCGTCGGGGAACCGGGCGCGCAGTAGCGCAAAGACGGACAACCGGGGCCCGGACGCCGGCAGGTTGGAGCAGGGGTCGAGGGGTCTTTACCGTCCGGCTCCGTGCGCCACAGCAGCCGTTCAGCGCGGCTCCGACTCCTCCACTATTGTTTCCGGCCGCAGCAAAGGCTCCGCCGCGCGCCCAGCCCCGCCCCCTTCCCGCCCGCGCCATCCTGTGTAGGCTGCAGGGAGAACCGTGCGGCCGAGTGCCCGTGGGGCGCTCGTCGGGCAGCTCCCGGCCAACCGGTGCGCTGCTGCGCCGACGCCCACGCTGGACTTGAGTTTTACTGTGATGACTTGTCTCCGGGCCCGGGATTTTTACCGTTCTCTGGAATGCATTCCTCACACACACCCCTTCCACGAGGCACGTAGATAGACGAGTCCGTTATCACTCCCCACCCCCTTAGTGTAGTGGAAACTACTGCCCCGGGGCGGAAGCCGCAGGGGAGGGGGGCAGGAAAGTGGCGGGTGGGTGGGGGAAAGCGAGCGAGGTGCGTTTGTAGTGGGGCTGTTTGAAATGAGGAAACTCAAGCAAAACTATCGTTGAACTTCCGGTTAGATGCCAGTTGACTTACATGATGAGAGAAAAGTTCATATTTCTCGTGTTCTGGTTTGGGCATAATTTTAAATGCAGACTTTTCCCCCCTTACAGATGGGTTTCTTAATGGTACTCCCCTCCTCCATAATATGGTACATTCCTAGCGCACCCTCTGGGGATAATCTCCAAGCCCGGCCTGTCATTTTAGGCCCCGCCCCTTTCTTACACTGCTTGATAGAGTAAGACTTTGTTTCTTTCTGCTTATAGTTCATGCTATGCTTTCACTTGCATTTTCTGTTGTAATCTTCGCAAAAGCCTAGGAAGGAGAAACTGTATTCCGGTTCTACAGCCTACTAGTGACTAACCCTTTATCACAGTTGGTTTACAGCCTACTAGTGACTAACCCTTTATCACAGTTGGTTAGAAAAAGAGCTGGGATTTGAACTCAAGGTTACTTACATGACAGTACAGTTATTTCCCGCAGTCTCATCAGCGTCTTCACGTTTCACATTCACATATAGAAAGAGTGCTGGGTTGTCCTTCTACATGTAAGTACTCTTGAACTGATGGGAGGAATGGATTCCTTAGATCTTGGAAACTTATGGACCAAACTGACATTTGAAGTAAGTCATCAGTGCCTCAGAAAAGTGGTCTCTGCCATGCTACTTAAAAGTGCAGTCCATGAATCCACAACATGGACCTCAACTGAGAGTCTTTTATAAATACAGAATCTCTGGTCCTAATCAAAATTTCCTACATCAGAATCTATAAAGTTTGAGATGCACCAAGTGAAATAGAGAAGTCCGTACTTTTTCTACTTGAATTTCTCATTGTAGGTAAATATGACTAAAATGTCTTGCATTCTGGAGTCCATTAATCTTTTCAATAAAAGTATTTTTTTTTAAAAAGTGATTCCATTAAAGTTTTCTAAAATCACCAATAATTGCCATATATTGGAAAATGTTATTTTCAATTCTAATTATCTTTTTTCCATTTTATACTGTTTACTTGCTTTCCTTCAAACATTCTCTTCCTTTTAAAATCAAGATATGTTTTACAGAAATAAAAATTTCCCACTTTGAAAGAGTTTTATGACTTTTGACAAAAGTATACACTTTTGTAACTACTACCCCAATAAAAATAGAGAACATTTCCACAACCCCAGTATTACTTTCTGCTCCTTCACAGTCAAGTTTCCCCAGCATGCTATCTAATTTAAATTACTAAAGTTTAGTTTTATCTGTTCTAGAACTCCATACACATGAAACTATACTGTATGTGTTTTTCTGTAATTGTCTACTTTCATTCAGTGTGGTTTTGTGATTCATAATGATTTTTTGCAACAGTGCTTCCTTTTAATTGCCAAACGATATTCTACAATTTGTTTGTCCATTTACTTGTTGATGAAAAATTGAGTGTTTATCATAAAGCTTAGATTCTAGCTTTGTTGAGCATTCATGTACAGGCCTTTATGTGTACTTACATGCTTTTTTTCCCTTGAGTAAATTACTAAGAATGAAAGTGCTGGGTCATGGAAAACATGTTTATGTATTTATTGTGATGGTGGGGCTCAAACCCAGACCCTTGTGTATGCTAAACAAGCACTCTACCACTGAAGCACATTCCCAACTTAGTGTATGTTTAGCTTTAAAGAAACTGTCAAATTAATTTGCAAAGTGGTTTTACCAATTTATGCATTGAGGATTGTCAATATCTTCACAATGAATTGACCCTTTGTCACTAAAAAATATTTGGTAATATTCTGTCTGCTGAGATCTACTTCTATTGGTTGTAAATATAGACAGTCCTGTGTTCTTATGATCAGTGTTTGCATATGTATGTTTCACTTTCATTTTTTTGTATTACTCCCAATGTGTCTTTATATTAAGATATATATTTTCTTTTGAAAACATAGTTGTGTGCAGCTTTTTAAATCCAGCCTGACAATCTGTCTTTTAACTGATTTGATTAATCCACTTGCATTTAGTCTAACTATTAAAATGGCTCAGTTTAAGTCTACCATCTAACTATTTGTTTTCCAAATACTCTATATATTATTGTTCCTTCCTCTTTTTTAATGCCTTCTTTAGATTCATTAAGGGTTATTTTCTTTTTATTGTTTTGTCTCCTCATTATACCTATTGTATTTATTTTATATATGTAGTTACATATATATGTATGTATTTGCTTATTTTTGGATTGTCCTAGGGTTTTTAGGTCTACTTTTAACTTAAAATAGTCTACCTGCAATACTATTATACCACGTCATGTAAAGTTCAAGAAACTTTTAATAATACTTTATTTTCTGCCCTCTGTCCACTTATTACTGTCAAATGTTTTAATTTCTATATGTCAGACTCCAAATATATTATTTTCCCTTTACTATGTTTCAAATAAATTTAAAAAGAGAATAGAATTTCCTGTCTATTTATTCACATATTACTACTTCTAGTGTTCTTTATTCCTTTGTGTATATTCAGATGGACCTGGCATCATTTTGCTTTACCGAAGAGCTTCCTTTATCATTTCTTGTCACGTAGTTCTGCTAGTAATAATTTCTTTCATCTTCTGCTTGTCTGAAAATGTCTTTATGCGCCTTCATTTTTGAGGGTTACTTTGTCTAAATATAGAATTTTAGGACTACAAAGGTTTTTTAGCCTTATAAAGAAGTTATCTCATGTTCTTTAGTCCTGCACTATTTCTGATGAGAAGTCATCTAGTACTTTTCAACTTTTTCCCTTGAATACATCTTTTTTCTTTGTCTGCCTAAACATGTTCTCTTTATCATTGTTATTGCTAATTTGATTATGATTTGTCTTGGTTCTGTTTCTTTTGTTTATCTGGCTTGAGGTTTGTTGGGCTTCTTGGATAAGGGTCAACACTTTTCACCAAATTTAGAAATTATGCTTAACTCTGTGATTGCAGGTATATACATATACATATATTACATTAACTGGGGTCATCCCAGAGATTGCTTAGGTTTTGTATTCTATCTTTCAGCATTTCCTCTCTATACTTTTTTTCTGAAGTGTCTAATCTTAGACATGTTCAATGAAAATTTTACTTCAGTTATTATACTTTCAACAATAGAACTCTACTTTGTTAACTTTTATTTCCTCAGTGTCTTCATTTTTTTAATTAAAGCATGGAATCTATTTAAAATTGCTATTTTGAAATGACAGAGTCTTCAGCTCTGTTATTACTACCTGTTTCTATGAATGAATTTGTTTTTCCTCCAGAGTATTAGTCCTATCTTCCTGCTGCTTATCTGGTACATTTGAATGGATGATAGCATTGTAAATGTGACACTGTTGGGTGTGGTTAGCACAGTAGCTCCCAAGAGATATCCATGCCCTAATCTCTGAATTCTATACATGCTTCTATTTCTGGTTCTTATTATTTTTCAGTGCTGGGGGTTTGAACCCAGGACCTTTCGCTTTCAAGGCAATCACTCTACAACTAAGTTATGTCCTCAGCCATATAAAAATGTTTTTAATGTAGCAAAAGGGACTTTTGCAGATGTAATTACGGTTATAGACTTTAAGATAGGTAGATTATCCTGGATTGTTGAGGAAAAGTCCAGTGTAATCATTTAAGCACTTAATAGTTGAAATGTTTTTCCATCTAAAGTTAGAGAGACAGCAAAAGAAGAAGTCAAAACGACAGGAAGCATTAGAAGGATTTGATCCAAGTTATACAAGGAACAAAGATTGGCCTCCTGCTGACTGACAGCCAGCAAGGAAAGGGAGGCCTTAGTCCTAAAACTGTTAGGAACTAAATTCAGTCAACAATCTCAATCAGTTGAGAAACGCATTGTAATAACCTATGACACCTTAATTTCAGCCTTGTGAGATTCTAGAGGATTCAACTGAACTACACTGTCCTGGACTTCTTACCTCAGAACCAGAAGATGGTAAGTGGGTGTTGGCTGGCATGTAGCTCGGTGGTAGAGTGATTGCCTAGCATGCACAAGGCCCTGGACTGGCTCCCTGCACAAAAATAAATAAATAAATACATACATACATATGTAAACAAAGTGCATGTTGTTTAGGCCATTAAATTTGTGTTAATTTGCTAAGCTATGGCAGCATTATAAAATTAACACATGGAATATATGAATTTTTAAAGAGGATTAGAACTTGTTTGGAAGGCTGTTACTCTCATAGTGAACAGCTTGATCCTGTTGGGACTTGTTTTTAAACTTAGTTTGTAAACGTCTAGTCTATTGCTTTGTTGTAAGGATATTTTAGATTTATCCTTAAGGAGTGGCTTTTTGAACTTTCTGTTGAATGCCACAGATATTCAGTAAAGATTCCATACTCTAGCTGAATAAAACTCAAATGGCTCATGTTCTTGCAGAAGCTTAGTTATCGTTCCCAGTAACTGTTCTTTCTCTGGTGTTTAATTTTTGCCCAGTCAATTAGAGTTTTACCCTACAAGTGTGCATCTTAGTATTCGGCCAGAGACTTACTAGTATTCTGAGACACTTTTTATGTATAATTCTTCCCTTCTAGCACGCTGTTTATTGCAAATTCCAGCTACCTAATACTCTC